CCCCCCCCCCCCCCCCCCCAAGAGTTGGACAGATGCGAACCGATTCTCTCGTCAGCATGGGGCATTCATGCGACCACCTGCACACGTTTTCTCAAGTTTCCCCAGACCCCTTCGCCTTGAGAGTGAAAACGAAAGGGGGGTGGAGGGAAGGAAGACCTTGTATGCAACCCCATCGAACCTCCTAAAGCTTTGAAGACGTTAGGGCTAACAAGGTTTTCTTTTTTTTAAAAAAGGGAGGGGGGGGGGGGGGGGGGGGCGTCTCACCTTCATCATGGTGGTGAACTCGGAGTTCTTCTTGACTCCAGTCGACCTCCCTTGTTCCGTCCTCTGATCTCCATCTCCAGAGTGAGCTAGGATGTGAGACCTCCCTTCGAAAGACTTTCCACCTGGATGGATTTGATGCTTGGAGAGAGGTTTGGATCCAAGCTGATCTCCCCTTGAGGATTTCCTCTTGAAGTGGGAGTGAGGGTCCAAATCCAATCCCAGATCCTCGGCTTCACCTTCGTAGATCTCCTCTTGCCTTGAAAGGTGATGGGACGGCTTGGGAGGGGAGGAGGAGAAGGAGGAGGAAGGGGAGGAGGCTGGAGTTTGGTTCGCCGATGGGTTGGGTGACATGGTCGATCTTTTTTCTCCGGGAGTTCGTGTTTGGGTTCGGGCTGGTGGGGAAGCGAGGGTCGAGGGGGTGATGTCGGGATGGTAAGCTTGTGTCTCGTGTGGGTTCTTTTAAAGTAGGAGAGGGTGAAGAGGGGGAGATATCGACCTTTCCTCCTTCTGTGTTGGCCACTCCCTGTGTTGGCCACTCCCTGTGTTGGCCACTCCCTGTGTTGGCCACTCCCTGTGTTGGCCACTCCCTGTGTTGGCCACTCCCTCTTCACCAACACCCTTTCCGCCTTCCCCTCCCCTTCCCCTCTACCTACAACCCTCACCTTCGATCGACAAGCAATGACCTTGGGGAGGAGATGGGGTGGCTGACTTTTTGTTTTATTTCTTCATTTGACCGACGTAGAGGCTTGTGAAAGGTTTCCAATCCACTTTCCACTCCCTCTCTTTTTCCCCTCATCCTGTCTTTCTCCCTGAACCCTTTCTTTTATCTATTCGCTTGTTCCTTTCTTTCATTCATCTCCCGCGACCTTCCATCGTCCGATGTGTGTATATAGAGAGAAAGATATAGAGAGAGAGAGAGCCGTGCATTCAGAGCAACTTCAAGTTCGGATCTTCTCCTTTCCCTCCGGACGAAAGCATGCGAACGATTGGAGAGGGAAAGCTAGAACCGATCCCTCCTTGTCATTCGAGTGAGGTTCGCTTTACAGGCGAGGGAAAGGGAATGACGATGGCGGAGGAGGTCCCGAGACCCAGGTCACAAGTCCCCAGCAGCACCAAGAACGACGAGGTTGTTTCACCAGAATCCTGTGCTTTCAAACCCACCTCTTCAGCCTCGACAGATCTTTTCCCACATCTCTGGTGTCGTAGTCCAAAGAGAAGGACTACGATACGCATTCTACGTTCACTCTCGTGAGTGCTGTCACTCCGAGTATGAACCCGGGCATCAACGCAGAATGCACAGATCCCCACGTATCCTAACAGGCACTGGACGAACAGAGCGAGAAAAAAAAAAAAGTGGAGGTGAACCATTAAAAAAAAAGAAAAGGAAGGACGCGGGGGTCACGAGTGACATGTCGCTCCCCAACCCCCCCTCCCCCCTTCCCCGAACAGATCATCCGCAACCTCACCATTTGGGACGGAGCGGGGCAAAGGCAAGAAAGAGGCTCGAGGCAAGAGAAGAGAGAGAAGCGGGGAGAGGACGGAGGACTGTCCCACGATGGACTTGGGACAGGTGGTGAGGGGGCTTGCACTTGGGAACTCTCTCTACGCTTGTTGAACAAATGTACTTACACTCCCCCTATCCTAGACCTTACCCTCATATACGACGCATTCATCAAGTCTTTGGGACTGACAGGATAAGGGTTCAAAAGAAAGATGAAGAAACTTGGGGGGGTTGGTAAAAGAGAAAGAAATCGACCAAAAAGTGAAGCTGACTCCTCCCGGGCTCGAACCGGGGACCTTTCGCGAGAGCACTTTCTCTCTTCCAACATGAAGATTCAACAGTGTTAAGCGAACGCTCTAACCAACTGAGCTAAAGTGCCTTACGCTCACTGCGCTCTGGATTGCATATATAGATCTTTTTGACGCTTTCCCAAAATAAAACACACCCTCAAGAAGCCTCAGGTGGAACAAACTTTCCCAACCACCTTCTTCTGCCCGGATCGACATTCCTCAACTCCCTCCGACCTTCTCGGTTTTGCTTTGCGAACGACCCACTGTTGCGCAAAGCGTTCAAAAATGAAAATGAAGAAAAAACGAATTAATTCAATCAAATTAGATCTCGAGAGGCTTCGGTGTCGTGGGATCCACACGTTCCCTTTCCTTTTGCGTTCCTCCCCTATCCCTTCCTTGGTCACTCTCCGCCCGCCTTTCAGGTCATGTTGGAGCCTGGTTGGCCGCTGGAGTATTGACTCTTGGAACGGAGGTAGGGTCCGTACTTCCAGAGGAGGAAGGGGGAGGGGATGCCGAAAATTGCCGAGATCAAAGCCAGTACCGAGTTCTGCGACGAGAAAGGGAGGAAAAAAGAGTAGGGGGTTGGGGGAGAAGAAGAGAAGCAATGTCAGTTTGGTTGAGGCGAAAAGAAAGAAAAAAAAGGGAGAAAAAAAAAAGACCAAGTGACACCCAACTCACCCCCCAACCTTGCCCTAGCTTCTGATACATGTAAGGAGCGAAGAGCGGGAATCCGAAACCTCCAAGAGATCGGATGAAGACGGCTGCGGCCAGAGCCGAAGCGGCGTAGAGGGGTAGGACGTCCACAAGGAAACCTTGGCAGACCAGGAAGGATCCCATGACGCCAGTGGAGAAGATGGCGGCTCCGATGTTGGGACCGATCCAGTGAGTCGAGTACTCGGCCGTCCAACCGTAGATGAGCAGTCCGACCGGAAGGAAGAAGGAGGTCACCATGAGTAAAGGTAGCTTGAACTCGGGTCTCCCTTGCCCTCGGTTCTTGGAACGAAGATCCTTGTAGACCTTGTCGATCACCCTCCCCCCTACCTGACCTCCTAGCGTGAAACCCAACCCTAGGGAGATGTAGTTGAGAGAAGCGATCCCAGGCCTCTCTCCGTACGTCTCCTCGAACACCTTGGGGAAGACGGTGAGCAGCAGGTACATGCAACCGTAGAGGATGAACATGTAGATCGAAAGAGCCTGAATGATAGGCTGGGTCGCCATGAGGATGAAAGGCCGAATCAGGTTCCTCTTGAACCTGACGTGCCAAGCCTCTTCGACGTCAAAGATGGTGTGAAGGTCTTGGTTCCCCGTCTCCCTCTTGAGCTTGTCGGCCTTCCTCTTCAGGATGAAGGGAGCGTATGTCTCCGGAAGGATCAGGAAGCCCACAGTCGCCGTCAGGCCACCGAAGATGGAAGAGGCCCAAAAGATCCACCTCCACTGAGCGATGGTCTGTACGATCCAGCCTCCGAAGATGGGTCCAGCGCAGGGGCCGATCAAGGGAGCGAGAGAGTAGAGACCCATGGCCTTACCCCTCGCGTCCGGAGGGAAGAGGTCGGCGATCGTGCCTCCTCCGATCGCCAGAGGAGCCGAACCTCCCAGACCCGCCAGGAACCTGAAGACCGTCAGCTGCGTCGAGCTATTCGAAGCTCCGCAAGCTACGTTGAAGACGAGGTAGAAGAGGTTCGAGGCCTGAAGTACGTACCTCCTCCCAAACATCTCCGAAAGCGGAGCCAGGAAGAGGGGTCCGAAGGCGTAGGCGAGGACAAAGCTCGATAGCATGAGGTTTTGCCTCACCGTCTCTTTGACCTCGAACTGTTCAGAGATGATGGGCAGAGCCGGAGCGATCATCGACGAAGAGAGCGGCGAGAGGAACGTGTAGGACGAAACGATCACCACCACCGCCCAACTCCTCCTCGTGGTCCAGTTCCTCGGGTTCTCGATGGAATCGGGAGAGTCCCAGGTGACGAGGTTGGGATCCTGCTTCTCCCTTTCATCCCGATCATCATCACCGTCCCTTTCTACACCTCCTCCTCCTCCTTCTTCATCCCGCCCCTCTGCGCCTCCTCCCACTTGAGCCTCCGACTCGACTTGGACCTTCCTTTCGCGATCCTTGATCGAGAAATCCCCGGTTCGGGTCCAAGAGGACGTCGAGGTGGGAGAAGAGCGAGAGGATTCGGACCAAGAGCTGGTTGGATCCAGATCGTTCACGTCTCCTCCTCCCCCTCCTCCCCCTTCCTCCTGCTTCTCCAGATCCAGATCCAGATTTCCAGGCGACGGTCGCTTACCACCATCACCACCACCACTATCTCCTCCCGATCGACTTGAAACCCTGCCGGTCGACTCACCCCCCTTCCCTCCTGCCAACCTCTCCCCTCCCGAATCGCCGCTGACCTCGAGACCGCCGAGCTTGTGGCCGTCGTCATCGTCGTAATCGTGAGTATCGTCGGAGTCCCTGACCTCCTCTTCCAGGAGAGTCCCGTGCCGATTCCCGATCTCTCTTGCGGTACCGCCTCCTCCAACTCCTCCTCGATTTTGATATGGATCCCTCCTCCCTCTGGCTTGGCTCGGACCGCTCCTGCTAAACCCTGGACCCTCGACACCTCCAACCTTTCCCGCCGTCGGATCTCCTCCCGGCACCAGGCGGAGACGATTCAAAGTTCCGATCTTGGACAAGGTCGAACCTCCTCTTGCTCGTTTCGCTTGCTCGCCGCCAAGGTTCTCTCCGTCACCTTCCCCGAACCCTATCCTGTTAGTGCTCCCTTCAACGGGTCTTTGTTCGTCATGATGGTGAGAGGTGGGTGCGGAGGACTGGTGGAGGTGACCAAAGGATCCGAATTCTCCGTCCACCGAACCTGCGTCGGCGTCATAAATGTCCTTCCTCGAGTGCGTCCTGGTCAACTTCAACCCAAGGCTGTTCGTCGTCGTTGTCATCGTAGGCTGGGCAGCAGAGGTGGACGGTGAAAGGTAGGTGGGTGGGACGTGAACCTGTCGTGTCCTAGGTGAAGGTCGAGCTGCTGTTGAACTGCTACCGCTTGGAATCGCTTCTACCGAGGTTGAACGAGGCCGCCGCCTCCTGTCCGTCCCTTCTCCCACCGAGATTCCTTTCCCTCCTCCTCCTCCCTCCACTATGGTCGAAGAGGAGGAGGACATTCGAATTTTTTATTTTTATTTTGGAATATGCTGGCCGTTGATGGGCAAGAGCAACAGGTGTTGAGAAGAGGGGTTGGGGATGGTGAATGTAAGGAATGAAAAAGAATGGTGAGAGGGTTGGAGTGGAAGAAACTCTTTCTTTTTTTTTTCCTGGCTCTCTTGGGTCACTCTTGTCTTTCCCTTTCCCCCCTTAGACGACCGCGATCGAGTTTAAGATGATGAAGATGATGAAGATGGTGATGGAGGATGTGGTTTCGAAAGGGGGGGGAGAAGGGTTTGGGAGCGGTCAGTTAGGATGGAAGCCTGCGGGAGGCTGACAAAGTGGGTTCTACGGTTTCACGATGGTTGAGGAAGGTATATTTGTGCATCTTTTTATTTCATCTGTTTCATGGTCTTCACCCTTCTCTTCCCCCCTTGGTTTTCCACCTGGGGTTCGGTCAGATGGACCGAAATGGCCGAATCGGTTCACATTTTGGATGGTGGATGAATTGATAGGGAGAGCAAAGATAGGGTTACAAGAAGGCAACTTCTGTTGGTGCTTTACCCGGCTAAAAAAAACAAGGGAAAGGGGGGGGGGGGAGTTGGGATGATGATAATGGTGATATGCGGGCGATGGAGGCTGGGGAGGAGGGTGAGTACATCACCCTGTAACATACCACTGGATTTGGAAGCAGAAATGGAATTCGCCGAAGGATGCGCATGAGCGGAAGGCGTACAGACGCAGAGTAACAAGCACAGAAAACGTTCAACACGGTCATGCTGCCTTTGGGGGGGAGGGCAGGGGGTGGTGCTTAATTACATGAGAGGGGGGGGAGGGCCTTGAGAGGATTCTTCTTGCGGTTGAGGAGGGTATCTGCGATCCAACACCCTCCGGTCCCGTCGCATTGCCTTGAACGAGGGATGGGAGGGGAGGAAGAGATCATCTCTGTCACTGCCAAGCGAGGAAAAGCAGACGAACAGCCGGATGCCTGTTGCCTAGGCTCGATTTCAAAAAGAAAAAAAAGAAAAAAAGAAAAAAGAAAAAAAAGAAAAAAAGAAAAAAGAAAAAAAAGGTGGGTTGAGAGAGAGAGAGAGAGAGAGAGAGAGAGAGAGAGAGAAGGAGAGGAAGACAAGGATTGGATTGGATCGGATCGAATCAAGGTATCGGGTTGAAGGGACTGATCCTTCAACCCTCATCCCTCATCCTCAACGTCGACGAATGGGAGGGGGAGTGGGAGGGGGGATGGTCACCAACATAAACAGGAACATGTATTGACAACTGGACGATCTCCACCCGACGAGTCACACTGAGCTGATTCTTGGATCGCTTCCAACGGATGAGCAATCCATCGAGCGGGCCGAGGATGAGCCGATCCGGCATCTCGTTTTCAGTGCTGATTCCGATCTGCAGTGCGGAATACGGACGGGGCGAGGCGATGCGTGCGTGATCTCGACCAGGCTAAGAGGAGGCAAAGAGTCGTGTACGCCTTTCCCAGCCTCTCGAAAGAGAGACGGAGAGAGAAACCGCGAATCAGACCGAAGCCGAAATTGAGACCGACCATGATGAAAAGAAAGGGCAGATCCTAAAACCATCTCCTGTATCCCACTCGCTCAGGCTTCCTTCCTTCCTTGTTCTTCTTCTTGCTCTCTCGGTCTTCCTGTCCTCCTTCTCCTTCCCCTTCCCGCTCCTCTCCGCCAAGCGGCTTCTCGTTTTCTTCAAGGCCCTCCCTTGGTGGGAAGAAAGGAGAGGCGCAGAAAGAGAGAGAGAGAGAGGGAGAGGGAGGGAGAGATTCGAAAGGGGTACGTTTATACGGAATAGAGAAGGAAAGTTGGACTCAAGGGCTTCCTCCTCTAATCTTTCCTTGCCACCTGCATCTCCCTCCACTCACTCAAACAAGCAAGCGCACGGCTCGTCGTCGCTTTAAACATACGCTCTTGCCTGGACTGTATGTCCGGTGCAATA